TCACTGGTTTTACGGATCGATTCACGACAAAGCTTGCCGGCGTTTCAACGAAAATCGTCGAAAATCGTGCTTTCGAAAGGTGTTTCGAACCTTTCGCCAACCTTTTTGTTCTCTTTCCAATCGATTCGCCTCGGTTTTTCAGAAAACAAAAAAAAAAAAATACAAATTGGATCGACACTGTTCAATCTATTAAACGTTCCTTACGTTAACTCTTGCGCATAAGAAAGGGTGGTTTTTTTGGAAATCAATTTCTTCAGATCCAGGGGAAAAAAATTTCCATCGAGAAAATTATAGGCAGAGATTTGTATAGAAATATAAAAAGAAAAAGCAATATTCACCTAAAATATATATTCGTTAATCGCGAAAAATTTGTGAAAACTTCTTAGAAAGGAAAGAATGATTAGCTGCAATTGAATTGGCGAGGACGTACGAATTGCGTGAATCGCGTTCATTCATTCATTCAGCGGAAGCGACAAAAAAGTTTCCGAATTAACTTCCTTAAGCAGCTTTCTGCTGCTTTCTCCGTGGCAACTGTCTCATTTAAGTCGTGAAACTTCATAATGAATCTAAACTCGCAACTCTTAACCTCTCGACTGCAGCAAAGTGAATTATTCTTTTCTTTATTTTCGTTCTTTTTTTTTTTCCTTCTCCCTCTTCTTCCTCTTCCTCTTCCTTTTCCTCCTCCTCTTCTTCTTCTTTTTCGAATGACGGTTTAGTCTCATTTAACCGGCACGGAAGCACGCCATCGCCGGAAGTTTCCCGCTCGGTGCGGGTTTCAACGAAAGAATTTCAAGCTTCTGCACGCCACGGAACCTCGATTCAATCTTAAAAGACCTCCCAAGACATCTTCGATTCTCTCTCTCTCTCAAGCAAAGTCTTGTTTTAAAACTGAAACGGAACTCGCCCAAGAATTCCGAGATTGTTTCAACTTTGAAAAATCTAAATATAAACATTATTTGATGGAATTGTTGTAGGGAAGAATAATTCGTCGTACTACAAATCCGTTAAACGATATTCGAAAGAATTAACTGTTTTGTTGTAATGAAATTCCATTTACATTTATCTTGCAGAGAAACGAATAGTTTCTCGTAAATAAGATTCCATTCGTCATAAGCTTATTTTTAGTTCAATCATTTAACCATCTTTTTCCATCGATTATTCATAACGGGTAGATGCTTTGGTAAATATTTTTAACGAAAAATATGTAATGTTAAATTAGAAAAATGGTATATAAAATCTTAAAAATCAATTATATTAATAAAAGAATAGAAAATATATTTTCGATTCAAGTATCAAGTTCAAACATTGACATCACTTGCGCTGTATAAAATTTCTTTCGTATAGCAGCACGTGATTCCGCGGTACTGCGTTTCGTAAGAAAGAAAAAGAAGAAAAAAGTCGAATCGAGAAAAGAAAATCCAAACTGTTCGAATTAAACCGGAAAGTTTAACGTGGGGAACAATAGAGGGGGGTTGCACACGGGGTTGAACGCGTGTGCGTACATCACGGAAAGGGCCACTCAACTTGCCGCTAACAACTTTAAAAGTTCTGACTAAACGAGAAATTGCATTAAATTGCGTTTCACCGAACGGCTCCATTCTCCACGCGGGGCTAATGCTTCCCGTGGTCTTGATAATCCTTTCCATCTATCCTCCCATATTATTCTAGACGATCCTTTTTTTCTTTTTTTTTATCGTCGACCTCCATAATCTCAAATTTCTTCAAACGTTCGATATTCGAATCGAAGGTGTTGACACTCCCCCACTTCCAGTGTTTTTACTCTATTTCTATTATTTCTAACATTCTAATTTTTTCTTTCTGGGGATACGGATTCTTTATTTCCGTATTTTAAGATACTTTCACAACGTGCACAATTATTTCGTATCAAATAGATCCTGTATTGGATCTCAAAAATTTTAGACAAGACGATTGAGATGTCGTGTGGAATAAGTAAAGTCTGCGATCTTCACTGATCAGTGAATAGAACTGAGACGTCTTTTCGAAAAACTCGAACATTGGGAAAAGCGAATAGTTGAGGATATTAAGCCATCGCGGAGTTAATGCTTGGGACTCGATTCGAGCCGATTATAAGCGTAATTCGAGTGGCTGTTACGACCCCCTCTGCTCTTCGATTCTTGCTACCCTTCCACCCTGAATACCCTGTTATCAAGCTAATTAGCTTTGCACGGGGTATCGGAAGGGCCTGTTACGTTTTATCATAAATATGGCTCTCTTTTCGAGATGGAAAATGTTGTTGATTAGTAAATGTCATATTTTTTTTCTTTTATGAAAATTTAATAATCGAAATCTAATTTTGAAAGAAATAAATTATATTAACCAATGTTCATATTTATTGATTATTGAAAGTTTATCTGATAATTCTTTATACAATAATGACCTATCAACCTACATTGTTACGTACATCTATTGTGGCCTCGTTAAACAAAGTTTTAACAACAATGCATTTTACATTGACCGCAATACTGTTCGTAAACTAAGCCTCCGCTTCCAAAAACTCGTTACCCCGACTAAACTGTAACCGGAAACTTTATATTATTACGGTTCTCGTATGAAGCAACTCGTCGATCGCACAGATAACGAAATTTATTATCGAAGGATATTTTAATAAGCATATATGCTCGCGCGCAATTCGATAAGATCGGAGGACGATTGCACGATGTAACAGGAGGGAATCTATGAGCCGAGGACACGTGTCAAGGCGCGATTCGAACAGTGGAGACGCGCTGCTCGCGTCTATTTGGCCTTCTCGCGTCGATTCGGCTTTGATCCACGAGCGTGTCGCGTCACACGGCTTGCTACACGGCTTGCAACACGCTTTGGGCGTAATTTCACTTCCTCTACCTGTCGTGTCGCGATGATAGAACGAAATTTTCGAATTCTTGTCTTCTATTTCCTTTTTTTGTTTTTTTCGAACGAAGAAAGGAAATTTCTCTATATTTAGGATATTTATCTATCCATATTTTTTTTTCTTTTTCGTAAAATTGCCAACGTGAGAAATGAAATCTGATTCGTAAATCTTTTTTGTTCTCCATTTCGATAATTAATATCCATTTTAATATCCGTCCTTGCACGCGTGTTATGCATTGCATCTCGTTCAGAAAAAAAAAATGTTGTAAAAATATTGTTGCAACGCGTACGTTTGTAAAAAAAGCTGCACGTTTAATCTTTTCACGCTCGATGATGCATGCTATAATATATACACGCAATAATAGTTTTATTATATTAATCGTTAAATAGAGATTCAACGTGTATTAGATTTAATTGTTCGTAAATTTGATAATGTGTGAAACGAAAGAAATGAATTCGATCTCTTGTTACGAAGGAAATTCGTAAGAAAGGGTTAATTTATTCTTGGTTCTACTAAAAAATTCTACTAAATTTCCATCGATTACCATCAACAGGGACCCCTATAACGTTCCAATTCAAGGAAACCGCCTTAAAAAAAAAAAATTTCGAATCCTCCCTCGAATCTCTTTCTTACAACTATTCGCCCGAATTTCCATGTAACCGATAACATCCCAAAAGGGGGAGGATGCAAGAGGAGCTTACTAGGGATAGATCGATATCGGGCAGACAGTTTGATCGTCGCGGCCCGAGTAAAGCTGCGTTTACATTAAACGAAATTGAATGAATGAATTGGATCAATGAGAAACAGCTTGTCTCGATCGACAAAATTTATTTAAACCTTTTCTTTTTTCCTTCAGCTGTGGCATATTTGCTTATTTTTTGATCAATCCCACCCAATACGGCTTCGATCGAATCGGGGCGGAGTCGTTTCACAAACAAGAATCGATCTTTTTGCTCCACCAAAAATCGCGCGATGCGAACGCGGCTTTAACGACCGACTCGTGAAAGTCAACCCCACCTTTCCCTCCCCTTCCCTAAACGTATGCATGACTCTCGACCGATTCGCCCCTGTTAACATATAAATTGCCGCTTAACGGCCAGACAATCGGTTGTTGCCGGGGGAAGGCGCGAAGGTGACGATGGAAACGATACCCCAAACTGCGGTCGAGGAGGGACGAGGCGGAGGATAGGTCGCCGGGAGGCACTCTCGACCCTTCTCGGCTGCGAGAAGACGGAAGGGAAACGAGAGAGGACACGAGCGGAGAGGGTGGAAGCGGTAGGACAAGAAGAGAAATAACAAGCGGGGTGGGTGGATTCAATTCAATTTCCTAAGAAACTCTTTAGTGTTTGAGATATACAACCGAGGGGAGGGGAGGGGATGGACTAACTAAGGAACCGCGGCGGAAAAGAGGGGTGAAAACGAACCGAGAAGAGACGAACTGCCCTCCCTTTCCTCTCCCCTTCGTGTCGAGGAAGACTCGCTCGAGAAACAGAAACCGGAGCGAACTCGGTCAAGCGAGAAAGAAACACGATCGAAGGAACGAGAGAGAGAGAGAGAGAGAGAGAATTGTACACGAGGCGCGCGTGTTGTTAGGTCGGGGGGGGGGGGCGAGTAGCAAGACGGACAGAGGATGGAAGAAACCGAGACCTTTCCTTTCCTTTCCTTTTCTTCGAGAAGGAATGAGAGAGAGAGAGAAGGGTGACTAACTGACCGAGGGTGCCAGGAGCGCGCAGGGGAGTAAGGATTGTGTGCGCGGGCGCGAGGCTGGCGCAAACTCTTCGTGCAGCATCCCTCGTCAGTTGCAAGTGAGGAACTGTCGCGTCCGCGTGGCGTGGTGCGAACGTGGCGGAGAAACGCGAGCTTAGGGGAGCGCGCGCGTCCCCCCCGCATCACCCCCCACCTCCGCAGGATTTGCCTGCCTCTCTGTGCCTCTTCTCTCTTTCCTCCCCTCCCCCTTTTGTGCCCTTTTGTGAAGAGGGATTTCTCGAGAAATTATTCGTGCGACGCGTGGTGGAGAACGAGGGATGCCGCACGCGGTGACCTTCGTCGCCACGTTGTGACCGCCGAGGAGGACGAGGAGCCGGCCATCCGATGATCGCCGCGATCCAAGGATCGCTCGAAGCCAGGATCCCCGCCATGGATAATAAAGACGTTCGACGGAAGTGCGGGAAAGTGCGACGTGCTCTGTTCCACCTGCTGCTGATAGTGGGGGGTAAGTTTCTCCGTGGGAGGGGTGGGGGAAGAAGGATCGATCGATCGATAACGATCGAGGAGGTTCACGAAGGACGACGAAGTGTGTTCGAACGTTGTGTCAGTTACGTAAGTGGGATGGAATTTAAATGTAAGAGGAGGAGGAATCGACTCTGCTGCGCCGGATCCTACCCTCGAGACAGGAGGGGTGGGATTTAACGTTCGAGGAACGAAGTTTGGATTCGAGAAAGTGTACAATCGCCTCAAATCGAATCTGTTTCGTTTCAACCTGGAGAAATCCTCGATCGAATTCGCTTGCTCTCCTAACGAGAGAATGCTACTCAACGGAGATCCAACGAAGAAGAATTTTTTCGAGTCGAACGGCTTTTCCCGACTCGAGAGACGAAATCCTCGGGATCTTCTTGGACGAGAGATCGAGGGAGCGCGCGTCAGAATGCGGACGAGGAGGGAGTCTCGAAACACTTGTGCCCAGTGGATCATACATTGGATATTGAAATCCTTTCGAGCTTTTCGACTCGATCGAAAACGTGAATGATATATTATTCTCTTCTCGAGATTTTTAAAATGGATCGTTGCTTCGAGCGAGCACGGAATCGTTCACGTTTGTTTAAAGTTTTCGATTTTATATGACGAGCCGACTTCGAAGGGACTTTCTCTCTCTTTTTCTTCTTTCTTTTTCTTCTTCTTCTTCTTTCGGATCATCATTTTTCTCGGGGACTTGTTTCAGTTTCGTCGGTTAGACAGTTTGACGGGTATTAATTCTCGCGGAATTAATTCGATATCTCGCGTCGGCCGACGTTCACGTCGTCGTGAATTTGTTCGGTGATTAGGTTAAATTGATGAAAGGAGGAGGTGGTCCTCTTTTATTCTCTCTTCTCTTCTTCGATTCTTTCTTTTTTGGAAGGGGAATTTTATTAAAATAACAGTTGATGTAATTGTCGTTGATGGATGCATCGTCCCTTTAAATTAATAAGATCAATTAATAAGATAAATTAATAAGATCTTCGTTTTTCTATTCTACGTCAACGCCTCTCAACCTGAATTCGAGACGAGGCATTTCACAATCCGTTTATGATGTAAGAGAGACGAATTTTCTTCTAACGAATTTTCTTTTCGCGATAATGCGCGTATCATCATTGCCAATTTCGCCTCCAACGTCGTTCTCACCTTATGCAAATTCTCGAATATAAGGATATAAGACGAGCATTGATCACGTCTTCGCACCTCGAACAATTATCCAATCACGACGAACGATCTCGTTGAAAATCGAAAGTTTCAGGGAGAAGGAGTCGTCCCTCGTAATCATCGCGAAGACCGCTGAACTTTTCTTATTTCCCAACATCCCCCCAAAAGGTATTCACGATCCACCATCTCCATCCCCGAAACTTGGTTGATTTCAATCTGCTAATTGCCAGCCTTCAGCCTTTGTCCTCCACCCTTTCCCGCTTTATCAGAATGCGAAAAAGACGGCGAGGGATTGACAAAAAAAAAAAAAGAAAAAAAATCCGCCCTCTTCCTTTTCACGGGGAATAGAGGCGTTTTTTTGTCCTCGTCCTCCTGCATCCCCGGTTGAAAGAGGATGCTCGTTTCGCCGCCTCGTATCGATGCGTTCCACCCCCTCCCTTCTTCCAATTCGAGAGGCCGACCACCAGACGTAACACCGTCTTGGCTTTAATCTGCTAATTGCCGCGCCTTTTTTTCCATCCCCTCCTTTCTTTTTCACCCCTCTCGACGGTCGTCGAGAAAGGGAAAAAAGGCACAAACAGGGAATTGTATCCTCACGATGATCCTTATTCCTCGATATTCGGGATTGTTTTGTTCAAAACTCGCCGAGTAAATTCTTAATTCAACGTGGCTGCACGTTGGCCGCCGATCTAATTCAATTCGCCCGCTCTCCTCGCCCTGGAAACGAACTCGGATCGGGGATGAATTTAATCCCCGCACCCATTCTTTGGAAGAGGAGACGAGACTTTTGTAAAAAAGTATCTGGACGATCGTTTTCGATGGATATATCTCCTCTTTACTTCCTTTGGAAGAGACGAATTTTCACGGGATTATTCTTCGCTCTTCTCGTTTTGTTGTCTTGATATTTGTGAATTTTATGAAAGTGTTGATGGTGATTCGACGATGTTACTTTCGAGTGATAATTAGAATGGTTAAAGATTGGCGAAGAAGTTTCTTATTTTTCGATTAAAAATGGAAATTTATTTAACTTGTAAAAATGTTGTGGACCGATCGAATCGAACCGTTCTACACGCGCGAGGAACCATTTGAGTAAAAGATGTACAGGACATTTTATAAACGATGTTTTCCATAAAAACCCAATAAACGGTGTGGACGCGTTGCAAATGTAAACCCATAAATAGCGTACTGTGGCCATTAACTTCGCCGTTCCCTGTTCGACTAGAAATGATATTCATTTATTTTCAGTCACGAGGATACACGAATCGTTGGCTACAGCTTATAAGTGGTGGAAAAATAGTATCGTAAAGGGGAGCAGATTTTTCGAGCAGCGTCCATTTTTTCATCGAGACGTTTATTTTTTTGATCTCATCGATTAACAAAGAGAATCATCACCGTTAAACAAATTTTTACGATTCTTACAAAGATTCATTCAGAGGACCCAGAGGTTTCAGGGAATCGTTCCTCTCGATTTCGTCTAAGCGTTCCTCATTCTCTCGAAAGAGATAACAAATTTCCTCGATGGATAACGAGATTAATTCGAAGCTGCTAATTCCATCCTGTCCGAGCTTTCTTATTATCCCGTTCGTTGCAAACTTGGCTCGTGCCCTCAATTATACCGAATTACTTGATCGAATTATTCGCTCGTCACTGTTCAACGAGAGCTCTCAGGTCCAATTGCCGACAGAGAATTAATCGTCCTAGGATAGTATCAAGTTTCTCGAACATCCAGCTGCTTGCACATTGTTGATCTATTAATCGACGATTCATTCGATTGAAACGGATAATCCTTACTCTATTCCAAAGTGTTACGAACCTCTGTACGTTCCATTCATAATTGTCTTCTTCATGATTCATCGACATCGTGATATATTTTTTTTTTTATAGAACATTAAAGATAACCACCTCTTCCACGATGAAAGCCAATCTTCAAATTCAAAAAGAGAAAAATTTTATTCTTCGAAATACACGTACACTTACATTTCTCCTTCGCAAACACGTTCAAACATCTCTCGTGAGATTCGTGGCCAAAGGCATCGCCAAGAAATTGGAGCACTGGGGTTAATAGCCACCTCCACGATCCGTTCGAGTGGCATATAATAAAACGAAATGCACTGATATTTCTCGATTGCGTCCACAAACGGAAGTGGACCAGCCGAAAGATGGAAGCGAGAGAGAGAGAGAGAAGATACTCTCTAGGACGTGCGCCTCCTAGCCGACGACATTGTTTCCTTTTCGATTCCACTTCCTTTTTTCATCCATCCTCCCCCTCCTCATTTCTCTGTTTCGCTTTGAAATCCGAGGCACGAAGGATGCGAGAGATGAGAAGGGAAGTACAGGGAGAGAGGAAGTACAGGTTTGCGCGGTTCGAAGACCTCTCATCGACTCCCTTTTCTTCGATTGTTCCACCCTCTCTCGTGTTTCAACGGTTGCTCGTCATCTTCTTGCTCTTTGTCCCTGGAGAAAGGGGAAGTCTGAGAGGCGCTGGCCGAGGATTCCCAGAGGCACCTTGCATCTCGGACATTCGATCCTTCGTTTCATCGGTGGAGGGGAGGATGGCTGCAGTTTTATCTCGTTCACGAAACGGAATGCCTCTCCTTTTAACGATTCCCTCATCTTCCGACCGTTTTGTAAACCCTTCGTGCCCGCGCACGTGTTTCGAATTTTATCATCACTTAACCGGTGACGGACCAGGACCAATTCTCTGTATATATATATATATAAAGTTAAAAGTAGCGATGGGAATAAACAGATCGCGAACAAGATCGAACTCTCTTATATTTCCAGAATT